AATAATAGGCAAATTTATTGATACAGTGATAACAGAAAAAAAAAAAAACAATACTTAAAATCAAGCCATTCTATATATTACCAATCCTAGGGCTGTCAGAGTCAAGAAATGACAGGCCAGGACACAGGCTTCATTCTGAAGGCTCTCGCTTATGTGTCAGATGTCAGCAGCCTGAAGGTGGGATGCTGAGACCCCACAGTATGGTGGATGAGATGGGCTTGTGGTGTGCCCTCTGTCTATGGTGGCCTCGGGGACCCCTCCCACAAGATCAGGACAGGGACAGCCCTAGGATTTGATGGGGGGGGGGCAGCTGTGCGTACACGTACGTACGTACACACACACACACACACACACACACACACTCCTATAAGCCAATTCCCAAAAAGGAAACCTTTAAATACCATTTTCAAGTCAAGATACAGGTGGGGAACAGTCAGAAAAGGTCTTTAGCCTTAAGGTGTGACTGCTCCAAATTTAAGCTAGCACTAACACTGATCAACATTTGAGCAGTTCAAAATGCAACATGCATCAAGGCCCTCAGAGGCAGTGCTCAGATTTAAAATAATCAATTATTGAAGTTAGAAGTTGGGGGAGGGGCTTGTTTATATCACTTATGTGGGGTTTGATTTTTTTGAGGCATCAAAAATGTTTTTCACTCTCCCACACATTAGTTTTAAATACACACTGCTGCAAAGATATAACTTGAACAAAATACTGTTTTCAACACCCTTATGGACTTCAGGGTGCCCTTATGGCAAGAATGGACTTGTGTTTTGGGCTGTCCACAAGATAACCACACAAAATGCTATGGCCAAGCAAACTTTATTCATAATTAGTACTAACAGAAACATTAACTTGAAATGTGATCTACTCACAATCAGACAGTACCCATCCTTATTCTCCCTGACAATATCTGGGCTCTTAAATATACATTTTCCTATTTTTCTACAAATAATTTTCTCTACCCAGTAATTGCCAAGCTATTTTTATGCTAAATTTAAGGCTGGAAAGAGTTTATAATAGTATGGAGAATGTATGTACAAGTCCATGGAAAAAGAAGGCTCCAGTAGAAAGTCTCAGAAAAAAAATATTAATTTAAATAGTTCTGTGAAAATGATCAAAACAGTTATAAACAAGTCTGCATCATACAGTATTTTATACTTACTTGCACAGTTTCCTCTTTCCCAGTGTACTTTCCTATTTGGGTTAATCCGCTGATATATATACCCAAAACAGGATGTAATGGCTTCATTTCAATTTCTTGATCATCCACGTACAAAGTTACATACCCTTCTGTTACCAGGAGACGGATCTGATGCCAACCTTCATCAAACAATGTCTAAGAAAATAGAGAAAATAAAAAGAGAAGCTTAAAAATAGAATTTCCTAAATTTAAAGAAATACACAATTTGATTCTAACTTTTCATAGTAAATGAAGCTAATTGTTTGTCATGGTAAAATGTATCCCAGGTCTGTCACAGCAAAGTGTACAGAACTACAAGTGTATACAAAAAAAATATTAAAATATCACAAGGGCACTATGTATTGAGTACATGAACCTCTGTTTTACATCTAACCTTATGCTAAACCAGTTATAGGAAACAACAGATTTGCCCAAGTCCCACTTTCACTTTGGACTATAAATCTCAGGGGAAAGATGCAACTTGGGTACTTTGGGAAATATTACACCTTTACTTGTGGGGGAAAAAAACTCTTAAAACCCTGGTAATAAATATAATCTGAAAAGATTAGTTAAGAACTACATTTCAGTTAAGACCTGTTAATATTACATATCTGGCTAATAGCATATACCTAACATTAGTCAAGCACCCCAAGCAATCATTTCATGGTCAATGATAAAATGAGAGAGGTCAGAAAGAAAGTTTATAACACTGTCACTCTATTCTTACAACAATTCTCTTGGGCTACTCTCTGTAGCGTCTCAGAAAAAGCATGTTTAAAGACTTCCTTCTGGGGGGAGGAGGGGCCTCCATGACTATTGTTTCCATTTCTTTTCCAGAAAGTTACAACTTCTACATTTAAACAGATATTTAACAGCAACCACTTATTCTCCCACTAATACGATGATAGCAACTTGGGACCCTTTCAAAAGGAAAAAGATTATATTTAATTTTCTTCTATTCCTAAACTTAAAAAATTAACTATTCTAGTTTCTAGTAGACAAAACCCCATTAAAATAAGAACAGTCATCATTTTGGACTGTTGAATCTCATTTTGTCTAAGTTATCCCTATGTTATCATTACCATGTTATCAGCAAAGTCACCCCCTCCACTATGACCCAGCCAAATGAGGGGATGCAAACCCAATGGATCTTAACAGTATATATTAAGACCAAATGGAAAAGACTATCAGTATGGATTGTCTCTCTCTTCCCACAATTCCTTGGATGCTTGTCCACAGGAGGATCATGGACACCAGTAACTGCGATCAAGAAAAGGTGGGTCACACCTAAAGGGATGTTGGATTTCATGGGGGACAGCAAATCTCAAGGCTATGATTCCAATGCACAATCCCACAGGGCTGATTCACTAAAGCAGGATTGTCCAACTTCTCAGCACCTGGGGGCCACATGCACTGCATGCCACAACAGTAGGTGCTGCACACCCCACAGACTGTACTGGGATGATCCCCCCACATTGCACCACGAGCCCACACCTTCCCCTGCTGCAGCACTTGCCCACGTGGGCACCCACCCTCACAGCTGCAGCAGTCCGGTTCCTTCTCCCTTAAAAGGTGCACTATGCAACCCACCACTGCAGCATGCCCATCTGTGGGCACCCCTCCTTCACACTGGTATATGTAGTCCTGAAGTCACCACAAGTGCTCCATGCTATGCTGTGCCACTAGTGGGGGGGGGGGGGGGGGA